ATTTTTTGATTTATTGTAGAGATGAGGTCCCGCCAAGTTGCCCAGGCAGGTCTCAAACCCGCAGGCTCAGGCAATCCGCTCACCTCAGCCTCCCAAGACGCAGGATTACAGGCTGAGTCACCGAGCCTGGCTATTATTTTATACAATTTAAACTACAACCTGGCCAGGCACAGTAGCTCACGCCTACAATCCCAGCACTTTGGGAGGCCAAGGTGAGAGGATTTCTTGAGCCCAGGGTTGGAGACCAGCCTGGGCAACTTGGCCAGACCTCATCTCTACAATAAATCAAAAAATTAGCAGGTCATGGTGGTGTGCACCTGTGGTTCCAGCTACTTGGAAGGCTGAGGTGGAAGGATTGCCAGAGCCCAGAAGGTCGAGGCCGCGGTGGCCATGAGTGTGCCACTGCACTCCAGCCTGGGTGACTGAGTGAGACTCCAACTCAAAAAAAAAAATTGGTTTTTGGGGGCTCCCTCGTACTGGCATTTGCACCTTTAGAAAATGATGCTAACAAAAATCAACACAAACTGCACATAGTGGCACAAGCTTGTAGTCCGAACTACGGAGGAGGCTACAGCAAGAGGACTATTTGAGCCCAAGAGCTAGAGGCTATAGTGAGCTGATGGCACCTGTGAACAGCCACCACACTCCAGTCTGGGAGACAGAGTGAGGCCAGATCTATGAAAAAAAAGAATGAATAAATAAATAAGCAAACAAACCTACATATTTCCAGTGTCATCTGTGGACTCTCCACAAAAATGAACCCCTGTTAAAAATAATTGTTTATTGGCCCAGCCTGTAATCCCAGCACTTTGGAAGGCCGAGGCCAGTGGACTGCCTGAGCCCGCCGGTTTGAGACTAGCCCGGGCAACTTGGCAAGACCTCGTCTTTACAATAAATCAAAAAATTAGCCAGGCGTGGTAGCATGCGCCTGTAGTTCCAGCTACTTGGAAGGCTGAGGTGGAAGGATCGCCGGAGCCCAGCAGGTCGACGGTGGGGTGGCTGTCAGCATGCCACTGCACTCCAGCCTGGGCGATGGAGTGAGACTCCAACTCCCAAAACAAAAAGGTTTATAAACGAGGTTTGGTAGGAGCATAGTCTGTCTTATCCAAAACCATAATGAATCTGCGATGCAATTCTAATAGCAGTTGTGGGTGAAGCTGTTGGTGACTGATAAGGAGTTGTAAAAGAAAACGTAGACTTTTGTTTCCAAAAGATCATGATGCTGCTCTTGGAAGCCACTAAGAAGCTGGAGTGGAGAGAATGCCCTATCTCTTCGCCATGATTAAGCATCTCGCATCCAAGTGGAACTCATCAAATGACCTGAAAACGCCTACCGCGGCTCCCAAGTGCCCCGACAACAAAAGGAATCCAGAGCCTAAGACAAATCAGCCTGGGCATCAGGTATTCTGGGATGACCTTTCACGTGTAGGCTGTGCAGTGCGAAGGGTATAATACGGAGTCTGGCTCGTCCTCTGGGTTCTCTTTGGCCCAGTTCACGAGCGCTTGCAAAGCTCAGACATCCGTCCCCTGCTATCGGCCCCACCGGCTCCCTCCCTCCAAGGAAACACACCTTCGTCGACCTTTGTGGAAGGGAGAAAGCTCCAGCTCCGGGTTTCAGAGGGGCCGGCGGCATCGCCCTGTGTCCGCGCTCCCTCTTTCGCCCGGCGCGCGCTTCGGCATTCCCGCTCCGGGCCCGAGCGGG